TCTGCGGGTCGCCACTCAAAAAAGGTTGGGAACCGTTGCTCTAGACAGTTCAATAGAAGTACAGTAGAGCATCAATTGTCCAACCCCCAATTAACCAACCGTTCTAGTCGGCAAATTTCAAATGTCCGCTAGTGATGTGGCACTACAATATTTGGCTATGTCTTGGCTACTTTAATATTACTTTTGTTAAATCTTTGCGTGTTTTAGCTGGTAACATCAGCTCGACCATTGAAGGAAGGCCAGTATTTAAACAAGAATTAATTTTCTAATTATGAATGGTTGTTTGTTTCGTGAGTGATAAAATAATTTTTAATGATACAATAGTGATGATTATTATTTTTTAAAAATTTTGTTAGGCTTAACATCAATGAAAATTTAATGCAAAATTGGTTAACGATATACTAATACTATTTACATGGGATATACTAATATACTATACTAATAATGTATTTTTTTCATTCTTTTCGGTTATCCGATTTTTTCAGTTATCTAACCAGCCTGAGTCCCCAATTGAGTCAGACAATCGATGCTCTACTGTACTTTAATTATGATCAGCCTATATATATTTGTTAAATAAGCTATTTTAAAAAATTAAAAATTTCTATTTGTTTAAAATACCATAGTTTATTTATATGTATTATATAAATAATATAAAAACTATTATTTTTCATTCAAATCATTAATAACTACATATGTATATATAAATAAATAACTGAATGTTATTTATTATATATACAAAAACTTTTTAACTTTTTATTTTGTGCATTTATTTTATTTTAAAGGTAAAAAAATAGAATTAACATACTTCTTCCATTTTTTGTAATGTTGCTTCAATTAATGCTTCTTGAGTATTTTTTTTCAGATCCTCCATATCTTCTATTTTTGTCTTTATATCTGGTATGATAGCTTCCAGTTCTTTTATTTCTACCATTGCTTTAGTGACTGGATCATCATCTGCAATTGACATTATGCATTCCAGATCAGATAGTGGTTTTTCTATTCTTCCACTTTCCTTCACTAATTGTTTCAAATTTGAAATCCTCAATTCTATTACTGACATTGCATTTCTAAAGCTACTAATTGCATCATCAAACTGATTATCAAAAGAATGAGCAAGACCTAATTGATAATGGCTGTTATTTTTTTTAAGGAAAATTATTGAAAAAACAAAACAAAACAAAAGTTATTACAAATTAGAAGGATACGTTTCAGCAATTTGTCTATCATCTGAATTTAATAGTTTTGTTTGTAACTCTAAACATTCTGATAAGTCTTCCACAGCTTGCTTATAATTTTCTGATTCAATGCTCACTTCACCCAATTTTAAGAGAACATCTGCTGTCTTTAATTGCATAGCTTTATTTTCTGACTGTCTGAAATATTCAAATATAAATAAAATTAGAAAATCTCTATTACAAGAGAAAAGTATTTATAATAATTCTAGTGAAAAACAATAAAAATTATAAAAAACTTTTTCTTAAATATTTAACATCTTTTAAAATTTTATAGATAAATCTCAACAATAAAAAGAAACTAAATTTTGGATTCATTTTTTTGCATTATGTCTTAAGCCTGGTTCTCATTGGTGTAAAACAACAAATACCAGAAAGTGACATCATTCATGTTATATATATACGTATATATATACCATGTTAATATCACTGATTGAACTAATAAGTTATGTATTGTGAAATGAGTAAAATTTTACTGTTGTTAATGTGACAAACTACTGCATATATATATGCAGTAGTTTGTCACAATATAATCATATTTATCTGGCAAACTACTCAATATATTCACAGTTGATAATTATTCCTCAAAAAGCAATCACAATCCTGCAATAATATAAATAAGTAGCTTTATCATTAATAAAAAGAGAATTCTATTTTATATATGACATGAATAATTCAGTTCAATAATGAATATAAAAACAAAACATGCTGTCACAAACTTCTGTATACAGTTTGCAAATTTTCTGTGATAATGATTATTCATGATTTCCTAGTCCCTTGTTACCACATTCTCTGGCTCTTAATTTGTATGATTTTATGTTATGAAGACACTTAAAAAGTATGATTTATCAAGGATAAGTTGCAATTTGGCAGGTTTGAAAGATAGTATAACACTGCATGCAAGATGCATCACAAAGGATCAATTATAATCAGCTGTCAAACATATTGTTCATTTCTTCAGGTCTTATACCTTCAGAATGAGAACCACTCTAAACATCATCCTGTGCATTAAGGTTCCTGTATATAATAAGTGCCTTATACAAATAGAATGTTTAATAGTGGTGGATTTTGGTCATATTTTTTCTCAGAAATGTCCTCTGCATGTCCTGAAATATAAATTTGACTGCTAAATCTCTCTAGACCACAGATTCCCAACCTATGGGTCGCGACGGGCTTTCTGTGGGGTCGCCAACTTATACAGTAAACTAAAAAAATATTCACTATAATGCAATTTTTATTTTTNACGTTTCAGCAATTTGTCTATCATCTGAATTTAATAGTTTTGTTTGTAACTCTAAACATTCTGATAAGTCTTCCACAGCTTGCTTATAATTTTCTGATTCAATGCTCACTTCACCCAATTTTAAGAGAACATCTGCTGTCTTTAATTGCATAGCTTTATTTTCTGACTGTCTGAAATATTCAAATATAAATAAAATTAGAAAATCTCTATTACAAGAGAAAAGTATTTATAATAATTCTAGTGAAAAACAATAAAAATTATAAAAAACTTTTTCTTAAATATTTAACATCTTTTAAAATTTTATAGATAAATCTCAACAATAAAAAGAAACTAAATTTTGGATTCATTTTTTTGCATTATGTCTTAAGCCTGGTTCTCATTGGTGTAAAACAACAAATACCAGAAAGTGACATCATTCATGTTATTACAATATAACATGAATATTGTCACTTTCTGGTATAGAAATGACATTTGGCATACTGTTTAACACCATAAAAACTGCAAAATCTGGCATGCAGATAAGTCTCAAGCAGATATGGAAATGATTACTGTTATAGTATGATGGCTCATTGTATAATTCTAGCAGAGGGTGTTAAATTGTCCCCCTTGGTCTATAAGAAAAAGCACACAAAGGCATCCTGTCTGTAGTTTACTTGTTGCAGAGGGATACTGTATTACTAGAGATGCCTTTATGTCATAATCAAAGACCATATGAACAACTAACAGAGTTTGAGAGAGGGAGGATCATCAGGTTGAGAAAAGCCTCGACAGATCACTAGCCAAGAGGACTGCCTGGTCCTCCAACAAGCACATACACACAGCTGACTATATCATTGTCAACTATCCAGACTGACACCATCATTACAGGCCCTTGTGTCTTTACCATTTTGAGGTACCTGGGTGAAGAACATCTGGTATTGCAGTGGTCATTATGTGTACTGTCAATGACAGCCACCTAGCATTGCCTTCATTTGGAGTGGTGTCACTGATGATGGGATTGGACTGCAACAGAATGGGATGGGTTGTCTACAGCAATGAATCAAGATTCAGTTTTGGCACTGACAACAGCTATGTTTGTGTCTGCAGGCATCATGGTGAATGCCTCAATACTGCCTACTCTTTAGAGCAGCATACCACCCCATAGCTGGTGGGAAAATCTGGAGTACCATCACATATGACAGCAAGTCATCTCTAGTAGTGGGACCATGACATCCTGCAGCCACATGTGTTGCCTCTTATCACAGGACTCTGCCACATTGCCACACCTCCCTGATCTGACCGGTCCCAATTTGTCACTGATTGAACACGTCTGGGATCACATGGGACACTAAATTGGACAGTCTAGGAGTTTGGTCAAAGTAGAGGACCATTTGAAGATCACCATTTGGCACCTGTATGCCTCCATACCTGCCCATATCACATTGTGTATTCACTATAGATATGTGAGATCCGACCCATGTGCAGACCAATTTTCCACTTTCCTCCTAACTTTTTGATATATTTTAAACACATTTATCATCTTACCAGGAAAAACCCATTGTCAGAAAAATGGAATCAAATATCTCATCAACAATAAAAACTTATAACTCCTTTTTAATGTAAACATTTACACATCTGAACAATGGCACTCTCATATTGCAAGACTTAAAGTTTACAATTAAAGTCTGAATTCATCATTTTGTTGTGGTCCTGGGAACAACTTTAACCTCCACACCTGCTAAAACAACCTTACCTCCCACAATAGTTGATCACATGATGATTTTTCCCACCATGAAGCTATAAAAGCGACTTCTTCCCCCCCCGCCTCGGGGAAGTCTCTCATCTATGGCTGGTCGGAAGGGATTGAGTTTCAAAGGATTTTTATAACTTTGTGCATCGATTTACAAGAACAAGGACTAATATTTTCTTCTATGTGGAATTATCCTAGAGATATGAAACAATTAATGTGAACTCTCTCCCATGTATTAGAAGCTAGCGAACCAAGTTAAAAGTTCTTAATGTTAGAGTTTGTAATTGTTAATTTTTGTTTAATCTAATAAATCGTTGTTTCTATCGTTAAATGGTGTTCTATTGTTCGCATATCACCTATGCCTTATTGATGACCCCTCTCTCCTCCTCCACTTGACCTGACAAAAAGAATCCTGACCCTTTGGGATAGTAAATGTAACCAAGCCATCCACTGACAAGTGGGCAGTATTCACCAAACTGTTGCCAACAAAAAGAGGTACGATCTCGTCATAACTCAGGCATCCCAGATAGCTCAACAGAGTACTAGAACACCCCCTTTCATCTGCAGTTTTTCTTGCAATAAATGATCTTTTTGCATTTATTTTGTAATACTTATATCACTGTTACTGAAACAAATGTAAAATTTCATTTGATTCCAACAACTTCTTGATGTGCTAATTTTTATGGCAATGAGTGTATAATCCAGATTTCACCATATGAAATACTGGTCTTGTTAATGTTTTATAATTTCTGTTCTGTTTATTTGAACAAATAATTAGAAAATTTTAATATTAAATCAACTTATGGTTACTTCTGGTACTTTTGCAAGCTATACTTCATTTTTCTAGATACAAGAAATAATAAAAACTAAATATTTGGGCTATTATTTGTTGTTACTTGAAAATTAAAAAGAAATACATTTTTGTACATAATTTTATTTTAAAGGCATTTTGCCTTTAAAAGAAATGCTAAGTAACAGTGGAAAAGATAATAGAAAAGGGAAATAAGAATATGAAAAGATGTCAAACCAGATCAGTGAGTAAAGAATTTTTAACAATTCGTACCATAACTTAAATTTTAATAGTTTTTTTTTTCTATACAGGTGTAAATTAAAAAACATTAAGATAAGTATGTTATGCTCTGCTTTTTGGATGCTTTATGTCAGCATTAATGTTGTATTTAATATCAAACATTAAAGAAAATATAAGTAATTTTTTTATCTTAAATATTGTCAGGTATAATTGTCAGGATTATCATTGTTTTTGTAAAAAGTTATAATTGTAAAAAGTTTTTATACAATTATTATAGAATGTTGTAAACCTGCTGAAGAGGGACATACAGGTCCTAAACACACAAAAAGAATGTACAAGGGAAAATAAAGATATTTTGTTTTGACTTTTGACTAAGACTTTCTCTTTTTGTTAATCTGAAACTACATTAATGTAATAAGTCCTATTTATAAACAAGGTCTAAGTAGACAATATAGAAACAAAGAAATAAAACATTAAGGACAAAGGTAAAAATAATTAATATTGTCAAGTGGTTTGTAGGCTTAAGAATTTTGATAGATACCAAAAAAAAACATTTTTAATACAAAAATAATTTAATTTTTTATTAAAAAATAAGAAAATTGTATTTTTAAATACATCTAATTTATATTAAACACTCTTACCTTTTAAAAATTAATTTTGCTAATTCTAAAACTTCCCATGCAAGCTGTAAGTTAGAAATTTCATCCTGAAAAAAATTTTGTTAAATGTCAAATATTTCTAAATATCACAAATCAATTTAAAATATTTCTCACATTTATTTTTACAAAAATATTATAATCTTTAATATCATTCAGATATTAAAGATTATAATATCAGATATTAATAATAAATTATTAATATCAGATATTAATAATTTATTACAGGTAACCCCCGTATAACACGGCACTTCCATAGCACGGATTCACTCTAACACGGTTCGAGAATTGGTACCATCCCCCGTATAACACGGTACTTTTATAGCTCGGATTCACTCTGACACGGTTCGAGAAATGGGTAAAACCCTCGTACAACATGAAATGTAATAAATTTTTACATACTTAAGTACTAATAGTTCACGAAAATTATTATTTTCGTGAACTATTAGTACTTCAGTGTGTAAATTTTCTTTTCTCGTCTCCATACACATGGTCCTTCGCGAAAATTGTTTCAATTTTGCCAGATCTCGACGCTTCTGCTTCTGGTGTTGCCAGATGTTTTTCTGTTATTCCATAAGTGCTTAGCACCATATAAGGAAATTTATAAAGATCTTTTAATTAGAAGCAAGCAATCTAAAATTACATACACTTTTTGCAAAAAGTAAAGCATGAATCTGAAAATAATGCAGAAAAATGCTCAGAGGATAATGATAACTTACCAAAAATAAAACGCTCTCAGTTAATAGTGCTTTTAGTGATGACAAAGAAAACATTGTTTAATTTATATTAATATATATCACTTAAGAAAACTTTAATAAAGATATTCATCTTAATTATGAAAATATAGTAGCATGTTTTTTAATTTTTGGAACCTAACCCTCCTTTTCGTACTAGTTTTTTGTTTCGCATAACACGGCAATTTTTTGGAACGTAACTACCGTGTTATACAGGGGTTACCTGTATTTCATTATATTTAAACATTTTTAATATGATTAAATGAATTTCAAAGCTTAATATTAACATTTTTAATGCTGTAGTTGAATTAAAAGCTTATCTGCTGAAGTAATAAGTGCAAAAAGACAAAAATCATTGTAATTTCAATTAAATTTGAATGCAGAATGATTGAAAATATTCCAGCAAAACTGCTGTGTACAGTACATTCAAGTTTTCTATGCTGTGTGCAAATGGACTTTGTAATAATAAAAATAGTTTAATAGTCTTGCTTCATTTGATGTAATAAAGTATCCATGTACTGTTTAATTAAATTACTAGGAACAAAAACTTTATTCTGACAAAGTTGTTAGTTGATATCAAAAAATGCCTAATCTTTAAAAAACAACCAGAATGAATGATAAGTGTTATATATATAAATATTTTTTTATATTATATCCAAATGAAGATTTATAAATATTTTATTATTTGCACTGTTTTTTACCACATTCTAGCATAAAATTATGGCTTTCATACAAAAATTCCATATTTTAAGTAAAAAAAAAAATATAATGAAACAGAAGTAAATAAGTTATATTAATACCAAATGTAGAAAAAGAATATAAAATCAAAATAATAGCTTTAGTTTTACATAACACCATCTTACTTCTTTTTCTTCCTTTTGTGCACCAGACGACGAACCAGGTTCTGTAGGATCACCTGTTTGTGATGTACTATCTGGAGACAAATTACATGTTTTTTCACTTTCTTCTTCACTAACCTCCTCTTCATTATCATTATCTTCATCATCGTCCTCCTTTTCGTCTTCCTTATCATCATCTTTATCTTCTAAAAATTATCAAAAATAATTCTTAATAAAAAAAATATTTCTTTTAACTTTTAAAAAAGTGGAAATATTTAAATATCAAATGAAAAATTTATATTAAATAATTTTAATACCTTTACTTGAGCCACAATTATAGGATAATCTATATTTTAAAATGGAAATTATGATATTCTAAATAATCCAACCCAATTTTTATCATGTCAATATATATACAATTCTCAAATATTTATTAATAATATATTTTATTTAAGAGAATTAAATTTTTAAAATTATCTACATTTGTTTCATTTTGATTATTTATCATAGTGAATTTTATAACAGAAGTAATTAGTTAAAAATTATTATTTATCAAATTATATTTTTAATATCACAGCATTTTTTTCTTTTATTAATATCACTGATAAATTTAATTTAGGTTACAACTTTTACAATTAAGTTATAAACTGTTTTCATCAAAAAATAATAAGAAATCTATACTAAAGCATAAAAATATTGTTTAATACTGTATTTGTGATAATAGTAGTATATTATTAATCATTTTATTTATTCTTTGAACAAAATAATGAAATTTATAATATTAAAATCTCTATTAAATAAGTTTTAATAAAAATCTAAATATGTAAAGACAAAATACAAATGTTTTTGACCTAAACCAAAAGTTTAAGAGTAGAACTTTTGAATCAATTTTATATAAAAATAATTTTCTTAACTTAGAAATTTATCTATTATTGGCAAATGTATTTCAAAACAAATTACATTTTAGAATCTTTAATGATTTTTCATCAATTACATCAAATCTTTTCTATATTTAACAATCATTATACTTTAAAAATAATAATGTTTAAATATTCAAAATTTATATTAGTTGCCATGTTTTGAAACCATGTCATATTTTTTATATTTGTTTTATAAGTGCAATGAGTGTAGAGGATTTGATCCCGGGATCTTGAAAATCGGGATCCCGGGATCCCGACTACTTTCAGTCCCAAAATTTTCGAAATTAAGTTTTCCTAATCCCGAGATTTTCGGGATTGACATCATTCTAAAAAAGTTGCAAAATAGACTGCATGAAGCGAAACATTCAGTGCCAGTGCTTTTACAGAATTGCTTGCCTATCATTTTAATATAAAATATGAGAAATTTTATTCCAAGCAAGCAGCAGAAATTAACCTAGCGGGCTTGCGATGCTTGCTTGGAATAAAACTTCTTGTATTTTGAACTAAAATGATAGGCAAGCAGTTCTCACTGGGTTACTTGGTAATATACTTCATTTTTGTATTTTTGAATTTTCGCGGGCGCCAATCGATTTTCTGGCGCAGTCGAGAGCACTACTCAGTGCGTTTTACCTGTCAATGTGTCAGCCATCTTGTTTTGCCAGTGTGGTTAATATAGACCCGACGCCTCTCGCTTAGGGGGGTCGACCTTAGGTGAAAAGGTTACGACCCCCGCCTTGCCCGTGATCTGTCAGGATGATGCGAGAAAGTCTTTTTACGTTTGGGAGTAGTGGTTTGCTGGATGCTGAGAGACTCACACAGAGACCGAATTTACAAAATTAACGTGTTTATTTTTAGAAAGGCATGCTTACAATGATCGAAACAATCGGGATTGTAGCCTTTACTCCTACAATCCCGATCTGTGTCGACCGGACTGTTTTCTTCCAACCTCCCCGTGTCCTCGAAGCTATAACTAGAACGGGCTTATAAGTATTTACTAACGATTCCTCCAACTTCCATCAAACCTAAACGCGTTTTCTCAGCAGCTGCATATATGTGCAACAAATTGAGAAGCAGACTTGGTGATGAGACACAGGATGCGTTGTTATTTCTCAGATCATATTTTCGCAATTCAAATTAGAATGTTCCTATTAGATTAGTTTTCTTTATATTTAAGAAAAATGTGACTGATTAATATTATTTTTAAATACTTTTTGCTAAGAAACTTATCTTACTACCTACTTACTAGGTTGCTATATGAAAGTAGTCTATTTAGTCGATGTTAAGAGAGATTTTTGTTAATTTTCAACGTTTATTTGCATAGTTTGTTACATAAAGGTTTTTTCAATTTATGTGAGTTTAAAGAGATCTCAGTGATGCTTAAAAAAGAATAAATTTAACATGAAGACTGAGTGATTTTAAGTCTGGTTAGTCTGACTCTGAGTCTGATTAGTTAGAGTGATTAAATTAGCTAGGTGTATACTGTAAAATATGTTGATTTTTGTCTAAATTTTGATTTGTTGATTTCTGTAAGATTTTCTTATTTTTTATTAACCCTCAATACCGAAATAATCCCGGGATCAACTAAGTATAATCCCGAAATCCCGGGATTAGAAATAAGGACCGGGATCGAATTCCCTAAATGAGTGTAATAACGATCACTTGGCACGATTCATTTCTTTATTTCAATTTTCGTTGATACATGCTTACACACGTTTCGAGCGTCTTTTGCCCCTCTTCAGTCAACTAAAAATATAAAACCATTTTTACATACTCAACAACCCGACACATAAATACAAAAAATACGGATTATACAAGTAGCACATAACATACCTTAAAAATACAAATGCCATCCTTAGATGTATATTACCACAAGTGGGAACCATACAATATACATTGGATACCTAGTGTTTCAATTTTAAGAAACGGTTTTTTACCATAAAACTACAGCTTAAAAACAAATTGACAAATTCTGCACAGGACATACCTCAAATACTAGGCCAAAGACTTAACTTTAGTTGGTACACACAAGACTTTGACTTTCACAACCAGGGTTTTTGGATTTAAAGATCCCTTAAACTTCCATAAAGTCTTATAAAAAAATGAATATAATTAATGTACCTAGTACGTAAATATTATGCTATATGTTTAACTTATCTTTACATACATATTCCCAGAAGACCCTTGGAAATACAAAGGGAAAATTAGAATAGATGCGTAGCACAGTTCTTTCTTCTTTAATGTTAATATCAGTTCATACATAATCCACAGATCTGAAATTCTCTTTGACTAATCTTTTTATTCTTATTTAATGTTAGTGACAGTTCTTACATAATCGACAAAACTAAACAGAAATAATAGAGCATGAAAAATCATTAGTTCTGAATAAAACAAATGTAATAATACCAGAAGACATATTTGATAGACTATATTAAAAAAAGGTCTGGATTTTAACGGCCCAAATCGACAGAAATCAAACAGATATTACTGAATTTAAACTATATGTGTAATAACATGCCAGAAATTGAGTCAAACATTATAAAAATAAATATCAGTATTAAAAATTATATAACAAAAGGAAATAAACAATTATTAGAGATAAAAATTACTTCAAATATAAACACTAGATCAATAAGGTATATAATTTTTTGAAAGAAAATAATTTGGAAATTATAAAAGCTGATAAATCAAAACAAATTGTTATAGTCAAAGAATGGGTTGAAACAAAAAAAATTAGAGTCATCAAGAATAATCAATTTTGAGAGTTACCAATTAACCCAAAAGATGTCATATATAAAGAAATGAAGAATCATATTACAAAATTATAAAAATTAGGAAAAATAAACAATGCTTAAAAATGCTTTATTTTAAACAAAAACAACGAACGGCCACCAAAATTAAAAGTTCTGTTAAAAACACATAAAGCAGACGAAAAGATAAGACCTATCATTATGGTAACCATATTTTTTGGGGGAAAATAAAGGACATATCGAAGAAAATTAAAAAATCTTATATAATTCATAAGTTTATAACATTTATTACACATACATTGTAAAAATTCAAATAACATTAATTTTGATACTTTTCAGTAGAATTAATTTTTTTTTAATAGCACTGGTTCATGCTTTAAAAAGTCATAAAATTCTATACAGTTCATTTGAAAGTTGTATTTGACAGAAATAATGTGCTTACTTTTAACTGGGTTTTTTCATTCATCCACATATTATTCACCACTGAAAATATTCGTTCGACGATGCATTAGATCCAGGGAGACAAAGAAAATTCTACGATTTTACAAATGTTTTTGAAAGCAATTTTTTGCTGTAAAATGTTCAAAAATCTCAACCCACTTTTGATGGCAGGGCTTGTTATTCTGTCGCCATTCGTCGATCTTTTGGTTTGTGACATATTTTTTTACACAAAACTTCATCAAATAATTCACTGTCGAGTATATTTACAGACCAATGATTCGAAATAAAAATCTAGCTTTCCTCTACCTTCACCCACAAAGGGATTTTGAGTAATGTGACCCATTCAAACACCTCTATTTCAATAAAGCACATGTCTCAATTATTTAGCACATTAACAGTAAATATGTCACATGCTCGAGCCCCNTTACAGACCAATGATTCGAAATAAAAATCTAGCTTTCCTCTACCTTCACCCACAAAGGGATTTTGAGTAATGTGACCCATTCAAACACCTCTATTTCAATAAAGCACATGTCTCAATTATTTAGCACATTAACAGTAAATATGTCACATGCTCGAGCCCCCGAAGATTGTCGACAAGTGTTGACGAATGCTCACCAATGCTCCAAGTGTATCATCCACCAACCAGAAAGTTAAAAAACTATCACAAAAATCCCCATAAGAGTGTCCGCCCCTTGGTACTGTCAAAGGGCCGTTCGGTTGGCGACACACTGCACTACCGCGCTCTATGTAGCAATGTATGAACATGATGACAACACTGATCGCGATGGCGTACACGAAACTAACTTGTTCAATATATTATTAAAAATGTTTTTAAACTTTGCATTGGATTTACAAAATAAAGGACAAAATGCCTATTTTATAAAATAAATAAAGTTAGAGGACAGAGCAGTGAAATAAAGGACTGTCCTCTTAGATAAAGGACGTATGGTCACCGTACCTATCATAGACTTTAGAAATTCTATTTTATACAATCTGGAAAAATTCTTAAAAAGTTGTTTACAAAAACATAAAAATTCTCAATTTGCCATATGCAATACAGATGAATTCATATATGACCTAAAAAACTTAGATATC